TTTAGATGGAATCTTGCTCTGTCACCAGGCTGGAGTGTAGTGGCGCAATCTCGGCTCACTGCAACCTCCACCTCCTGGGTTCAAGCGATTCTTCCGCCCCAGCCTCCTGAGTAGCTGGGACCACAGGTGCATGCCACCACGTCTGGCTAATTTTTAAAATATTTTTAGTAGAGATGGGGTTTTACCGTGTTGGCTAGGATGGTCTCGATCTCTTGACCTCGTGATCCGTCCTCCTAGGTCTCCCAAAGTGCTGGGATTACAGGCGTGAGCCACGGTGCCTGGCTGGCTGAATCATTTTAAATGAATTTGCGGACATCATGACTCTACTTCACACCTAAGTACTTTAACATGTATCTCCTAAAGACATTTTCCTAGATATCCAGAATACCATTATTATATCTAAGAACGTCAACAATAATTCTCTAATGTCATGTAATATTTAGTCCCTATTTCAGTATCCCCATTTGTCCCCAGAATGGTTGCATTTTTGGGACACAAGTCTAGCATTTTAATAAACATTTTATTTTTATTTTTTTTAATTTTTTTTCTCCCCCTCTTAAAGACTTTCTTTTAACAGCATTAATGAACATTTTTATTAGCATTTCATTTGATACCTACAGGTTGATCAGTGGGCTTCTCCTATTTAAAAGGATATTTTGGCCGGGTGCGGTGGCTCATGCCTATAATCCCAGCACTTTGGGAGGCCTAGGTGGGAGGATCATCTGAGGTCAGGAGTTTGAGAACAGCCTGGCTAACATGGTGAAACCTTGTGTCTACTAAAAATATAAAAATTAGCCAGCCTGTAATCTTAGCTACTTGGGAGGCTGACGCTTGAGAATTGCTTAAACCCAGAAGATGGAGTTGCAGTGAGCCAAGATCATGCCACTGTACTCCAGCCTGGGCAAGAGTAAAAGATTTTTTTTCCTAATTACAAAAATAATTGAAATATTCCTTATTAAAAATTAAACCATTCTAGCAATAGTTAACTTAGAAAGTGAAAGTTCTTTGTAATTAAACTCTCCGGAGTTAATGACTCTTCACAATTTGGCATAGATTCTTCCTCGTTAAGACTTATTTATAAGAATCTTCAAATCCTTTTTAGGAACTAACTGTTCAGTAGTTTACATTTGGGTTCCTAAATTATGGTCCACAGATGAACTTCAGATTCCCAAATAACAACAACAACAAAAACCAGTTCCACTTTAGAAACAAAATTGTTGAAATACTATGCTTTTTGCCACCTTACTTTCTGTGAGGAGAAATTAATGCCTTGTAGGTAGTTTAAGGTTCCCTTAGGTATTAAGTATACTTTAGAAGGCTTTTATTTGCCAAGTGAGGCAGGTAAGTTTCCGGTTGGAGAGTTTTCTGGAGTTTCAGAATGGAGCTGAAAGGCAAGAACTACATAGAAAGAGAAGACCAGGATTTGGAGCCTTTTAGAGTGAGAAGGAAGCATTGGTAGACAGAGATAGGAGAGCTAAAAGATAAGTATGGGAAATGAAGAATTGCCAGAGCAGAAAGGAGCCTTGGTGGGCAGAGTCTAAGATATGTTACACTCAGACATGTTGTATTAGCTCTTGGAGATTTCTGCCTCGCAAACTTAGACTCTTTTCTTTTATGTCTTGTGAGTATTCTTTTTCAAGAGAGAGAGCTATATACAGGGATGAGATAGATGTAAGTAGTCCATGTCACTAACTCTTAATATAAAACAGTCTTTTGGGAGCTGCAGGGAAAGCTGAACTTCTGAGACTTGGCAAGTGAGATCTGGCAGGCAGGAATAAGACTCTTGTGTATCAGAGTTTCTTGAGGCCATTGCTTCTTTATGGAAATAGTAACTTCTTCCTGTATCTGGAAATATTGCAGCAACCACAGAATAGAGAAACTGCATGGATGTGACCTAGAAAATGAACTTTAAGCTTTGACTGATATAACACAGTGAACTGAGGCCCTTGGAACTCATTTTTAGCTTTAATGATTATATAAGCCTCTTTGTCCTGGTCACTTGCCATCCATAAAGTGGAAGGCAAAATTAAAGGCTGATGAATTGCAGAATGAGTGGTCTTTGCCAAGAGGCAGCCTAAATATGGCAAAGGGCAAGGTTAAGAATGAAGAGTTAATTTCAAAAATGACTCCTGTGTGGCTTTGTTGGCCCAGCTCTCTTCCTGCCTCAGCCCCTGACTTGCTACATGCCTTGGCTAACAGCATCTCATTATATTTTTAGAAGCAATAGAAGCAACTTTTTCTTTGCTGTGCTTTCTCCCCTCCAGTATATATCTTTCTCTTTTTTATTATATATTTATCATTTTAAACCTAAAAATATACTTTTAATAAATAGCATGTTATAAAGTACAATAATAAAATGAACATATGTGAACCTCCCACTCAACTTAAAACAACATTAATGCTATTGAAGCTACCTGTGTGTCCCTTCCCTAATCGCTTCTTCCCTCTCCATTCTCTAGAATTTTATATTTATCATTTTCTTGGTTTTGTTTGTTTGTTTGAGATGGAGTCTTGCTCTGTCACCCAGGCTAGAGTACAGTGGCGCGATCTTGGCTCACTGCAACTTCTGCCTCCCAGATTCAAGCGCTTCTCCTGCCTCAGGCTCCTGAATAGCTGGGATTACAGGCTTGCGCCACCACACCTGGCTGATTTTTTTATTTTTAGTAGAGACGGAATTTCACCATGTTGGCCAAGCTTGTCTGGAACTCCTGACCTCAGGTGATCCTCCCACGTTGGCCTCCCAAAGTGCTGGGATTACAGGTGTGAGCCACCAAGCCCGGCCCCTATTCCCTTGGGTTTTCCTCCACTTTTAAAGCCTTTTTCGCTTGGAGTTCTTCTGACTTTGGTGGTGTTACCTTAAAGGAGCTTCTGCTCAACCTTTACAATAGATATTAGGCAAAAAAATTTTAAAAACCATGTATATCTTAAAGTTAACCATGCATAGACTTAAAATTGATTCACCGAAGTCTTAACATTTGGGTGATATAATTAATTTGGTTTTTATTGTTTTGTGTGTGTATGCCTTTTTTTTTTTTTAAGTTTAAAAGACTGTCTATAATACCTTTTGTATTCAGAAACACTTTAATTTTAAAATTAAAAAAATTTTAAGTGGAGAGATAGCTGCAGGCTTTTCTATGGGAGTTGCTTATCAGTTTTTGGGAGGATAGTGCCATAGAAACTCTGTGGCTAAGCGTAGGTAGAAGAATCGTGAATGTAGTTTTCCAGAGGCAAGAGCATTGCTCTTTGGCTATATCGGTGTTTTGATGAAGCTATAGGGAGTATCAGATAGGTATTATCATCATTGCTCTTTTGCATTGCTTGTCTCTGAGGAGAGATGAATATATTCAGGTTAATGTCAGGGTAAGTAGTACTAGCTAACTTCTACAGCACTCTAATCCATTAACAGGTTGTCTCTCCAGATTGGACTTCAGTTCGTGTCCTATTAAAGCTAATTTGAAAATCATGAGCCATTTGTCTGTTTTGGCTGTACTGTCATGATCCTCTTTTTACCTTCTTTTCACTCCTCCACCCACAGAGTTTCTGGAAAGTACGTAAGCTTGGTGGGTTCTGATATTTGGCAGTAATGGATTAGCGTTTTTTTGCCCTTTTGTGTGTGGGCTTAGGGACCTGCTATTGAGGTTGCCTTCTTTTTTAATAACTAGAATGTGAGTTGTGAGAGACTAGGGGCCTTTGTCTGTTTTGTTCAGTGCTATATCTCTCGTGCCTTGCAGAGTGCCTGCCACAAAGTAGATGCTAAGTAAATATTTGCTGAGTGAGTAATTTTGACAGGAAAAAAAATGATCAAGAGTTCACAGCTTTCCAGGGCATAAGTGTACAGTTGCAAGGAGAAGCATGGGCTAGACCCTAGTCTCCAGCTAATTTCTTTATGATTTCATTGCCAGTTTGCTATGAGCAGTCATGAAATCTTTCTAGATTTTGTGGTAGGTGGGTACAGATGGTGGTGCTTAATGCTGGCACATGAGAGGGTGGAAAGGGGAATGGACCTGACTATTCAAGTTCTATTGGCAAAGGTCTGATGTGACAGTGTTGGCCATGATTTGGGCCATGACAATAGGAACCATTATGAGTTAGATGGCTCTCAGGAAGGTGGTTAGCTATTTAACAGACTACCAGGATATTTAAGAAAAAAATCTTCTGGGGGAATTCTTTTGCCTAGGAGGGAAGCAAGAAATACTATAGTAGTACCTTGATTTTCATTTATGAATTTTATAGAAAGAGAGATTGTAAATGTTTTCTTTTATGATATACATCCTCGTTCTCTATTAAACACAGTCTGGATGATTTACAGAGAAGGGTTTCTTTTTTCTTTACAGATGAACACAGGCTTCACAGTGGCAAACTCTGTCTGATTATCCTTACATGTATTGCAGAGGTAGGTCTCACCAGCCTTCTGCTATTAGTCAGTCTCTTAGAAAGTGTTATCTTTCCCTGCCTCCCCTCTCCTCATACCTACCTCATGACTTTTAGGGTCCTAAAGTTTAGGAGAGAAAATCTTCCCCCTTTGTATTATCTGTCTCCTCCCACTAGAGTGTAGTCTTTGATGAAGCCATGGATAGACAAGGTCTTGCTTGCTTCCACGCTGCCTGTGTAGCAGTTTAAAAAATAAAAATAAAAAAGGAGCTCAGGTTTCCTGTGGTGGGGTGAAGGGGTGGAGAGTAAAGCCAGAGAGGGGAATTGGAAACTCAGTAATTCCAGTTTGCTGAAGAGCAAGAGCTGAGAGGAAAAAAGAGGAGGTGCTTCAGCTTTTTTAAAGGCCACTTTTGGTTGGACTAATTGGGTTCAAACTCACCATGTATCTTGGTGACACACAGGCATGGTTGAACTTGAGTGAGTTAGAGCTAAATTTATAGTGTCAACCTCCCCCTTTACTACTCCTCACTCTGCCCTTTTTTCTCTTAAGAAAAATGGTAAAGGTAGTCCACATGAAATAGGGATCTCTCTAAGTCTCTCTCTTTTCATGTTCTCTGTGGAAAGATGACCTCCTTTTCACAAGATTAGGGGTGGCTGGTTATAGAAGAGCTGTCTATTAGCAGTGGCCTGCTATAATTGCTTTTCAAAAATCTTTCTAAGAAAATCTTTAAAGGAGTTGTTTTTCACAAATCATAACAGGTCCTAGTAATTGGAGTCTGTAGGCTTGTCAGATTTTCAGAAAAGGTGTTGGGAGAGGGCCAAGGGATGTTTATTACTAATCCATGGTAAGAGGTTTTTGATTTTCCATCAGTTTTCAGGAAAGCCTGGAATAGACAAGAGTCTTGCCTGCTTCCACACTGCCTGTGTAACAGTTTGCTCCTGTTGGGCTGAGTCCATTCCCAGCAGAGCACAGATTTTTCTTCTTGCTCCTAAACCCTCATGTGGAGCCTGCACATGAATCCTGCAGCCCCTATGAAAACCTTTAAGCTATCACAAACAGAGCCAGCTCCTTGGTCAGATGGGACGGAAGAGGGAATAGGAAAACAGATTCCTCTCATTCCTCTCAGCATCTGCCTTAAGTCCCTGTATCTTAATTTTTATTGTTTTTGCTTGGAAATTTTTGACCAGTTAAGAGATGCACTGGGAAATTATACTGAAGAAAAATCTCATGGCTTAAGTAGTGTTTGACATAAGACTCTAGGCTCATCCTATTAGCTGTCCAACTGATCCTTGAAAGTAGTTTTTAAAGTCCAAGGATTTGTACGAAGTGTGATAGATTATAAATGGTTTCTTAAATATAGTTCTCACTTCTTACTTTTTCTCTGTATTTTTGTTAGGATCAGTATGCCAATGCATTTTTGCATGATGACAACATGAATTTTCGAGTAAACTTACATAGAATGGTAGGTGTTTCTTTTGCTTCTTGTTTTTTCTTAGAGGAAATTTTTTGTGTGTCAGCAGGGTTGGGATGAAATTGATCCTACCTAGTACAAATGTGGTTGGAAAGTTGTACCAAAGGGCTTTGCGTGATGGCTGTTCAACAGACCCATGCTTGTTGTTGAGATTTTTGTGTGTCATGGAGCAGTTTCTTATTTGAGAGTTTAGGAAGATTCACAAACATGGCACTTATACTGAATTTCTTTTTCTTTTATTTTCCTTTCTTTTCTTTTTTTTT